GTTTAAAATCCTCCTTTGTTATTATTTTAAAACTATGTTTAACATTAAATGTTTCAAAATATAACCAAAATTTTAAGAAAAAAAAAAAAAAAGTAAAGAAAGAAAAACAGAAAAAAAAAAAAGAAACCTTTTTGCAATCTGGTAACCTCTGTGCATTAAGCTTTCTATACAAAATTAATTTCAATGCACTTCTAGAGTGAACCATTTTTAACACTTATTGATAGCAAGTTGTTTATAATACATTATTTTAGTATACAAAAAGTTAAGAATGTCATCAAAAGGGATAAAAGGCCATTTTACAATATCAAAACATTTAAACAGTGACCCCCAACAAGAGAAAAACAAAAAACAATAGCTGACAATGTTGACAAATATAAACAAATTTTAAAGATACGAAGACAATAAGGACTTTAAGAGTAGATACTACATATCATAGATGGCTAATAAACAATGTATTATATATGTCAAGTAAAATATATTTAATGCATTTTTTGTCTTTTACAAACGGCAACATCATCATCATTGACTACAGAGAAATTATCATAAAAACGTTTTAAAGAGAAAACAGTAATAGTAATTAATAACGACAAAATCTAAATCTTACAGATAATACTAATAATGACAACAGTGTGTTATAAGCAAAGGTTTCTTTAAAGTTATTGAAAAAATCTATTTATAGCAACAAAAAAAACAACAAAAAAAAAACAAACAAAAAAAACATGCATGTCATTTGTACACATTAACATTTGTTCTCAAGAGTTCTAATAAAAACATGGAGAGAAGAAAATAAATGATTTTTTAAAATAAAAAAAAAAAACAAATATGCTAATAATCAGATGCAAGTGAATTACACCTTAGTTATATAAACAGAAATCAGAGAATGAAGAACTTATTTTTAGTAAAAGAATTAATGATGATTAAGATATTCTTACTTCTGTCCCATGTTACATTTGTATACAAATTTCATATCCTAAATGTAATAACTATTATGAGACAGAGGTAGTAATAAACATGGAATAGTCATACTAATAAATCAAAAAGAATAATGAAGACCAGAAATAATAGGTCCCAAAAAAAAAAAAAAAAAAAAAAAAAAAATAAAATAAAAACAAACCAAACTCACTGTAGAGCAAATGTAAACAAACATTTTTCCATCTCCATTTTGGTTAATCAAATAGTTAAAACCACAAGTTGATAATGAACTCCCCCATGACCTTCATATAATAACAATGATTAACTTATGGTAAATGGATTAAGTAGAAAAGATAAGTTTTAAAACTATTTGAGAGAAAATTATTCAAGCAATAAAATTTATCATTCTAACAGGCCTGGATTTAGATGAAGAGAAGCCCTAAGCTATTTCACTTGTGAGGACCCTCCAAATCCTCTATTCTCATCAGTAAAGGAAAATGGAAGAATATTAAACAACTTGAGTAAAGCCAAAGATGATGATGGGTGTTTAAAATTACTGAAGAGTTATTTAGAGTCTATAATGTGTAAGAAAGACCTGACTGTCAAAAATGCTATAGACCTTGCCCTAGGCTTCAACCTGCTAAGCTTATAGGTAAATCTGGTATTGCATTCTAATCTACCAGGCACTGGTGGGTGTTACAGGAAGAAAATTCTACTCTTAAAAGACATAATTACTGAGTTTTCTGACAACTGTATGCTTGTCATTTTTCTTTTGTCCACATAGAAAACTTTTGTTTCAACTGCATGTTCAGACATGTCAATTTGTTTATATATTCTGTTTCTGAATATAAATACAAGTTTATCCTCAGCTTTTTGTTGTAAAAAATACATGTAGCTTATAAAACTTTATTTCATAATTTTAAAATGTTAAGTAGTCCATACATTATAAAAAAAAAAATAAAAAGGTAAAAATGAATCAAGTGTGGTGACAATGGACACTCGAGTATTTTAATAAGAGGAGCAGCTATTTTGTGAATAAATGTCAAGTCAACATTGAATTACATAATAAAATAAAAATTAAGAAAACAAAATACAGTAAACCCTTGATTTAATGGACACCAGTATAGCAAATTTCAGATTTAATGAACTTTATCACAGAGTTGAGATTGGTTGGTCTGGGTTAATATTAAAAAAAAAAAAAAAAAAAATATATATATATATATATATATATATATATATATATAAGCATGTTTTATTTAAATTTATGAGAACATGGGTCTCCATTATAGATAAGATTTTGGGTCACTGCAAAAAAAACAAAAAAACCCCACTACATTGTCAAAATGGTGAGAAAATATATATTTTTTATTATAAAATACTATATATTGTATTAAATATTTTATATTGTATTATACTTTATATTGTATTAGAAATTTTCTTTGTGCATTAAAAAAAAAAAAAAAAAAAAAAGAGTAAGAAATAGTAAAAAAAAACAAAAAAAACTTCCCAAGTTACATTGATGTTTACTTTCTTCACCCTAAATAGTTTAAATTGGGTACCTCCACTTTTTCGATGAAGAAAAAGTATAGCATGATGAAAAAAGAACCCAAACTTAATAAAAACAGTTTTATTGTCAAAATATATTATGTTATTAAGAGGAAAGACCAAAGTATTTTTTATTTTATTACATTTTTTTAATCATTTCTAGCATGTTCAAAATTTTAGTTAAAAATATATTGTTTTCTGTTTTTTTTTTTTTTTTACATCAGTGGTCTATGTAATACTTCTGCTTAATGTTTTAGCACCTTTTTCAGGTGAAAGCATATTAATTTAGAACTTCTTACAAAAATCAAATAATTGTCAGATTTTACTGAAACTCTTAGGACTTATTCACAAATGAATGAAATTATTTTTGAAATTTCTTTTAAAAAAATCTTTGTAAAAAATATTTAATTTTGTGTAGAAAAATTTTTTTATTAGTTAAAAGCAAGACTCCTTGGAGAATGCAAATCATCAACCTTTTTTTTTTTTCAAACTACTACTCATTTCCTGAAAATCTCCCCCGAAAAGTAAAATAAAAAATGCAATTTTTTTTCTATGAATAATGAATTTAAAGCTAAAAAAAAAAAAAAAAAAAAAAAAAAAAAAAACAACAAAAACAAAAAAAAACAAAAGCTTCAAGAATGCTTTTTAATTTTTAAAAATTCATTTTTTAAAGCTTAGGCATAAAAAAATTAGTGGAGGTACCTAGTTTAAATCAAGGGTTTACTGTATGTGATAATATCCAATATGAAAAGCAAATAAATGTAAACAAAAGTGAAATTGTTTTTTGTCAATATTTTGACAAAACAATACAAACAAGATGTAAAAAATTTGAAGGGAAAAATGAAAAAAATATACATATTTTTGGCCACAGACTCCAAGGTTTTATGTGGGAAAAAAAAGAAAAAAAGGAGAAAATGTTTAGCTGGTAAAAACTTCGAAGAATCGGTCAGGTAATTAATATAAACTTTTCCTCAAAATATAAATACATGTTCACACACACACACACACACACACACACACACATAGATAAAGACAAAATGAAAACTTTTCTTTACAAACTCATTTCTTTCACCAAGGGATTTTACCATTTAGTGTGATAAAGTCCCTCACTAGATTAAATGCATCAGTAAAGAAAAGTTTCCCTTTTGTCTTTATTGATACAGTCTTTTTATAGATTAGATATATCTTATTTATATCTGAATTTTTAACACACACTAATGTGTGTGTGTGCTGCTTATGTTAAAAATCACTGCTTTGGCTTTAAATAACCCATAAAGGGTTGATAAGCTGTAAAAAAACAAAATCAATATACTCTAGTTCCAGTGTATGAAGATTATTATCTAAATGAGGATAAAGTCTATATAAACAATAACACCTCCTATTTTTTTTTAATAACCAAACATTTAAGTTCCAAGAATAAAATCACAAGTCAATCTGACAATAAAAATAAATGCTAATATTGCTATCCTTTGTTTTATCATGAATGTGAAAGATTACTATCAGACATTCATTTACAAAAAACAAGAAAATGATTAAGCATTTAATCTTAAAGGAAATTAGAATTCAAATATTAGGCTGAGTCATAAATAATTTTTATTTTTATTTATCAATTATCCACTTTATTTTTTTTTTTTTGCTAAGAACTTTCAGAACCCAAAACCCCAGCCTGCATACTGAAGCCACTAATGTTTGCTGAATTTGAAATTTAACACACTCCAATATTTTTCTAGATATCTCCACATTATTCATTGGTGAATTCTCAGAACATATGATATAAATGCATTTTCAGTTTCTCCATTGGTGAGAGATAAGGAATTTATTCTTTAATCTACCGTGTACACTATGACTACCATGTAAAAAATAAAGTATGTTAGTTTAAACCAAATTTTTTCTTACTATCACATAAGATTAGTAGTTAAGATGAAACATCCATCATTACAATTGGTTCTCAAAAGTGGAGATTATTTATAACTCAACCTAATAAAACCTTTTAAATAGACATGTTAAAAAAGATGTTTGTACTAAATACTTATATTTTTTAAAGACAAAAATTAGAAATGCCTTTCTTTATTCATTTTTTTTTTTTTAAATTAAAAATCACTGATTTGAAATCTGTCAATGATTTTCTAAAAGCACCATTCATAAAACAATTAAATATTAGTGAGTTTGCTAGTTCTTAATATCAACTTGAAAAATTAGTGAGCCCTCTAAAAAGTATCCTTGTAGCAGACTTTGCCCTCTAGAAATTTTTATTCTGAGTAAAGTACTGAATGAAAAATATTCATTAAAATCAGATAATTACTTCACACATTTCTTCCTGGAAAAAATAATAAAATAGTTGATAAAGTAGATATTTTATATGTGCATGTGTGTCTATGTCTATATGATTTATGTATTAACATTATATAAAACTTTTTTTTTTTTTTTTTATCACTGTCACCCTGACATTATTGTGGCCAACACAGAGAAAAAACAAAAACAAAAAAACCTGTCATGACTGGAAATGAAGCCATTCTGATTTGGGGAGGTGCTAAGGAGACATATCAAGGAATATATATATGATAATGAAATACTGTTACTGAAGAAAAAGAAAACAGAAAAAAGACGAAAAAAGACGAAAAAATAAAAATAAAAAAGAGGAAAAATAAAAAAAGAAGAAAAGGAAGAAAGAAGAAAAGATTATTGTTATCCCCATCATGACAGAATCTCTCAGCTGTAGAAAAATGAACATTGATTCTTTTATCCAATATTTGGAGTGGTGGAAAAATGCCAAAGTGACATCATTAAAAAAAACCCAAAAAAACTTCAAACCTTAGTATCTGCCAAAAGTGTATAGCAGATTATTTTAATTCCAAGTATAAGAAACCTGTTGTTCCTTATTTAGAATATCAGTCACTTAGTTTAATATAAGAATAGACGGCAAGTTAAAATCCATTAATTATTAGTCATGACCTTTATTTGTGCACAAGAGTGTGTATAAATAGAAAATACCGCTACCACATATGACCAACGCACCACTTACATTGTTAAAAGAACTGATTACACCAGGAAAAGAAAACATATATAACTATCAACAATAACAGAAAATGGCTTGACTTCCCCCGCCAAAAAAAAAACAGATCTACATTAAAAGCAGTAATTAAAAAAAACATATATAAAAAGAAATGAGATAATAAGCGGTTATTTTTTTTTCTTGGATAAGCCATCTTATTGTAATTGTTAAGAATTTGCTTTCCTCAATTAGGTCATTTCTTAATCAGTGGAGAAAAAAAGTAAGATGCAGCGTGTCACGTGGTTGGGGATTGGAATTCTCTGCCGCCGAATATGAATTTTTTGACATCTTCAGTGGATACACAGGACGCTTCATCTGTTCAACAGGGAGGTTTACAACCTTTAGTGGGTCCTTCGGGCTCGAGCTCCACAGTGGCTGCTGCTGCTTAGGATATGAATAAGAGGCAGCTGCGGATTCACTGTTTTGCCTGCGCCATGATTCTGATACGTAACGTCGCCGATTGTTGCCGTTGGTGTTGTCCAGCTGTCTGCTAAACTGGTTGTCATGAAGCCTGCTTTTTTCTAGACTCGTGCTAATGGCATCAACATCAGAATTAGATGTTGAAGAAGCCGTTGGATCTTTTTTAGACGACAGTGGTGACACAGCCCTTCCACTTGCAGAGGAATTGCCATTAGAATGCTGATAACCAAGCAGCCTACCTACCATGCTGTTGGTTGGGGGCAGCATGCCATTTACCGAGAGGGACATCCGTGGTGGTGGTATGAGAGATGACTGACTCGGGAGGCTTCGCTGAGAACAAATTGAAGCAGATCTTTCAGCACTGGTGACAACGGTTTCGATTGATGTAGTTGACAAAGATGACGATACAGAGGCACTCTTGAGAGAATTGGAGGTGGTTGAGTAAGTGGTTCTGTTTTCCCAGGGTCCATGGTTGGTATTTGTTGAAGATGCCTTCCCCGAGGTAGAATCATTTGCTGTTGATAAATCCTTGTAAGAGGACTGGCCAACCTTATGGTTCACTCTTGATTCGCTGAAACCGTTTGATTTGGAGGCAAGGGTACCCAACTTCTTAATTGGTACATGTTGAGAGGAAGCTTTTTAAAGAAAAAAAAGAAAGAACAAAAAAATTAAATTTTAGAAAATACGAAGAAATCATTTTTAAAAATTGATTTACAAAAAGAAACTGAAATTCTATTCTGTAACGTTGCTACATTTACATATTTTTCTTATTGTTAACAATACTTACAAAAGGCTAATGTTTTATAAATCTGAGTACTAACTTCCTGTTGCTATATTTAAACATCACAGGAGAAATTTAAAATTACATAAACAAGTAACATGAGATGTTTTAAAACAGACTGTTTAAAAAGGTGAACAAAAAAGATTCAATTTTCAAAATTGCACTGGATGCGTTTATCTATTTCAGCAGATAATATCAACTATGAGTGGAAATCTAAGAACAAAACATGAAATGACAAATTATATCCGAAATGTTTCATTACAGTATTTCTGGCAAGATACCTAAGAAAAAAATTCCAATGTACTCACAGCAGGTAAATGAATCTAAAGCACAAGTTCTAAAAATTTCTTAAAAGATTCCAACCACTGAATTAATATACCATATATACTCAAGTATAGTAAAAGTTTTTATGATCAGTTTTTCTGCAAAAATAAGGGGTCACACTATAAACAGGTAAATTTTTGAAGAGCTTAAAAATCATGCATTTTCAGTGACCAGTTACACTATACCAAAGTAAATTTTTCTAGAGGGGGTTGAAATTCATGCATTTCCAGAAACTGTAACCTACCTGGTAGGCATACATTCTCATAGTACCTTTGGCTAATCTTAATGGTGCTGGTAAACTCTTTTAGCTTGCCTCCTGTAGCATAGATTCTTTTTCTGTTGCTACATGAACAACAGAACATCATTCACTATGTGTGCTGCTTAAAATCTACAAATACCTTATATAAATGAAGAAATAACAATGTTCTTTTCTCCTTTCTCCAATTTGCATTCATCTTTGTTTGCACATGTTTACATTGATAATGCTTTTTCAATAGTACACCTTTTGTCTTTATACATATATAGTAGATGTTTCAGTTGTGTTCCTTATTCTGTCTTCCTCTATTTATATTTATTTTATTCTTTACATTTACTGGTATTATTATCTATTATAAAAAATGAAGACCATTTGCTATAAAATATATCCAGGATGATGCCCAGTTCTGTAATATTTGACTACAGTAGTCCTACTATTATTGCTCAGAAGCTGGGGTCGCATTATACATGAACTATATAAAAAAAAAAATAAAAAAAAAAAAAAAATCAGGTTTTACAAAGAAAATTCAGGGGTCACACTATACTAGCCTATTTGCTATGGACACCATAACAACAACACTAGCATAGTGAGGTCGTTGCCCTATACTCCACATGGAATGAGAAGGTTTTGTCTTGCATTCAGAAATGTAGGAATTTATTGTTGTCTAATATCACCAATCTTTCCTTGAATAAAAATAATGACAGCTGCAGAAATTGTAAAAAGATTTGAATATTTTACACATGCATTTAATATAATTATTGAGTTATACATTACTACTACATCACGAAGATTTATATTTAAGACATTTTAACATGCATAGTATGTTTATTTTCTATAATACAAGAATTTTCTAAAGGGAGGTGTGATTTGTTTTTCATTAAATAATACAAATAATAATAGTAATATCAATAAGATGAAACATTTGAAAGATCAGTCTATATTTCCGAGACGAGCTATTGTAAGTATTTACACTAAATGGTCAAAACATTGTGAATATGACAACAAAGATGAGTAGAGCAGTCTAAACAATGTCAATATTTGAAAAGATCATTTTACTTTTTGCATCAGAAAAACCTAATTAATATCAATGAGAGCTGTATAATAAGAATGTATTAAACAATTTTCAATTGTTAAAGAATGTGAAATGTGTGTTAAAGAATGTGAAATGTACTCACTCCCAGTAATGATTACTGCATTATAGACAAATGTGTGACAAAAAAATAAAATAAAAATTCAGAAATAGGGAAGTATATATGATAGTAATGTTATATATCTATGAGATGAGGCCGACAGATATGTGTCAAATGACATATTAGGTAGGTGTCATTGTGGTAGTGTCTCAATAAGTAGCACTTAACTATAGAGTAGAGTCCTCTGCAAAAAATGTGATACCTAGAGTTTAAAATCTTTCTTGAATATGTTATTTTATTTTTAATTTCAAGCTAATAGATTAAATTTAATATTTTCGATATCAAAATACTGTATGCTGTATTTCAAAAACTAATTTAAATTGTCTGGAAGGAGGGTTTTTTTTTGCTAAAATAGCTGCTTAGTGCCCTTTTTTAGTTCTCTTTCATTGCAGTGTAATTCTCTTTATTTAAAAAAATCTTCCAAAAATAAAATATACTTTTCAGAAACTTTATTTGAGGAATATTGGCTGATTTAAAGTATAATTAATCTGATTTGAAACAAATATTATTTAATTTAAGTTTAAAATATCACAGAAATGCATTTTTTTAACCTGACAGTAGCTGTGTTGACAGATCTAATGTTGTTCTACAGAGATTTTATCTGTAAAACATAATTGAAGAAAATGATGTGTGCACCTTTTTTTATATAATTCTTAAGTACTTAGTAATGTTAAACATTTAGGAAAATATTCTCCATACCGAGTTTTAGAAATTTTAGCTTTAAATTTACTATAGTTATTGCTTTTATTTTCTGATAATGTTGTATATGATTGCCCATATTTACAAAAATTAGCACATTTATATGCATATAAAAAGAATTAGAAATTATTTTTAAAATATTGGTGTTTAATAATTTGTATTAAACTTTTCCACTTATGATTAGTAAGTATAGTTTTCACTTAATAATATCTTCTAAAAGGTGGAAATTAACACAGTATTTTAAAAGATTTAAAACTTAAATTTTTCTAATAAAAATTTAAAAAAAAAAAAAAATTAAATAATTTCATTAATTTGTAAATAAGTCCTGAAAATTTCATTAAAATCCAACAATTATTTAATTTTTGCAAGGATTTCCAGAACAATGTGTTTTTAACGCAAAAAAAAAAAAAAAAAAAAAATTTCCAATACTAATCTTTGGTCAGCCCACTGACTCCAAAAAAACAAGATTTTTTAACCAAAATTTTGAACATACTAGAAAGGATTAAAAAGAATTAATAAAATACAAAAATACTTTGGCCTTTCCTCTTAATAATAAACATTTTGACAATAAAACTTTGTTTTTATCAAGTCTGGGGCCATTTTTCATCATGGTATGCTCTTTTTTAGAGGTAACTAATTTATTCCATATTTAAGACCATTTTCTATATGTAAAGAAATATCTGTTTGAATATTTGAAAACTGAATTATCTTATTTTAAACTTTTTTCTGTTTTTAATAATATTCAAAAATCAAAAAATCTTTAAAATAACAAACATCAATTATAAAGATTTGTTGATATTTATAATATAACAAAAAAGAATGAATCCTCCCACCTATTTAATGTTATATACAAATTAATTAAAACCAAGAGGAGCAAAAATTAGGAGAGTTGAGTTACTGAAGGGAATTAACCAAAACTGAGATATCCAAAAAAGGCATGGCATGTGGAATTAGAACAACCTACCCCTTACCAAACTAAATAAAGGCTTCAGTTATAAATTCAAATGTATATCACCTGAAGCGTGTTGGAGCATACAACAGCTGAAACACTGTGAATATGGCAATAAAAATGTATTTTTATACTTTCCTAGTATTTTGATTTTTGTTTGGGGTTTCACTATTTGCTCATAGCTGGGACCCCTAACAGGTGCTACCCCATCCCTAGACAGGTGCACTCAGAAATGAGTAGCAAGCCAAGTTTAAGGTCAGTTTCAGTTTTTGTTATTATTGGGTAATTTGGTGTTTTTTTTGTAAAATTCTAAACAAAGAATATTTAAAAAAATAATAAATAAATAAAAAAAAGGTTATAATTAAAAGTGAATAAAAAAGTTTTTTTTAATTACTTTGACCAGCCAAGTCAGAGCTGACACTGGATGAACTTGCTGAAGTTGAGAAGAACTTGCTTTGGGTACTTGTTGCCTGTGAAATAGTAGTGATAGTAGAATCAATCACTTTAGGATTGTGATGACTTCCAGCAGTTGAAGTTGTTGTTGTTGTTGTAGTATTAGTAGCACTAAGCCCTGTATTATCATTTGCTTTTGATGAAGATGATGTTGATGATGATGATGATGAGGAGGAGGACGATGGCAGCAGTTGACGCAACCCTGCCGAATCATTATCATTAGATTTTGAAGAAGAGTGATGCTGCTGTTGTTGCATTGGCAGGGGAGGCAGAACTCCATTTAATGGATGTTGTTGACGAGATGATGGTGGTCCCACATTGTTGTGTAACCGACCAGAAGGTGGATGCTGACGGGGACAGGGTAAAACATTAGGGTGCATGGAACCTGGATGTTGGTGGTGTGTAGTCAGATTTCCAAATATTGCAGCAGGATGTTGCTGCTGCTGCTGATGATGGTGATGGGTCGGCATTACAGCTGCACTGTGTATCGGACTGGTGTGCTGGTGGGACACAATTGTGCCTTGCAAAGATCCAGGGTGCTGGTGTGCTGCTGACGGCAGCATGGGGTTATGCAGAGATCCTGGATTTTGGTGTAATGGAGCTATGACTCCACCTGTTAGAGGATTTGGATGTTGAGGTGGGGCCACAACTGTGCCATGCAAGGGGGTTGCATGTTGATGAGAAGGTGGAACCATTCCATTATGATGTTGAGGAGGAGGAGGAGGACCTGGTACAACCGTACCCTGGATGGAGCCTGGATACTGGTTGTGGTAAGCAGGTAGTACTGAGCTGTGAAGCTGACCTGGGTACTGATGTGGAGCTGCTGGCACAGGAGGTGGACCTGGCATGTGAGGGTTGACCATAACAGATGGGTGCAACAAGCCTGCATGATGTGGAGAGGGTGAAAGGAGTGGGTCATGCATGGGGTAAGAAGACTGGTGAGCAGTGAGGGTTTGGCCAGTATGTACTACACCATCATGCGAAGCATAAGGCGCATGTTGGGGTGTGGGAGAAACCAAGACTCCTGGGAAGGGTGCAGCCTGTGGCTGACCAACAAACTGCTGCTGAGTAGGTAAAATATCCTGAGGCTGGTGGTAGGCATTCTGGTGAGAAGCAAACATGACAGTGCCAGGGGGAGGAGCTGAATATTGTTGGTGGGGGGCTGGCACGACTATATCATGATGAGGGTGTGCAGACTGATAATGGCCAAGTAAGAGGTTGTCTTGGGATTGGACTTGAGCAGGGTGAGCTATGGGTTGCTGTTGCATATAGGTTGGCATGACTGTCCCATGGGGCTGGCCAGGGTGCTGAGTTGAGGAGATGACCACTGCATCATGAAGCTGATTTGAAGGGTGATGGGGAGGTGGGGGAGGTGGCTGGGCAGAACTTTGTGTATAAGGATGTTGCACAAAGCCTTCATACGGAACTACAGAAATGTCCACAGGCCCAGGTGGCTGGGGATTCAGTGGATGTACTTTGACCACATTGGTTTCATTCAGTAAAGCTGAGCCCTGATGGTGGGGCACCATTTCTCCAAACATCTCATTTCCAGGTCTTGTCTGCTGGGGTTGTGGATTTACACTGGCTAGAATCATTGGGGAACCTAGTTAAAAATTTAAAAATCAAAACGTAAAATTAGCATTATTTGTGCAAATTCTTTGCTACTTAGAATAAAATTTCCTACTTGGTTGTTGTTGGTGGTGGTGATACTATTGTTGTTGTTTATAGCTTCAAATATTTGTTTATCCATTTACAAATTTAAAACCTTGGTTTAAAACGTTTTTTCAAGAAATCAACAACGAAAAATGAAATCTATCAAAAAACGGCTCTTAAATGAATTTAAATTATATAGAAAATCTGAGAATAGAAAAGAATCAAAATTCAAAATAATATTTTTATACTTTAATTTATATAAGTTATGAATTATAATTAAATTAAGTATAAAAATACTATATTTAAAATTTAAATTAAAAAAGTTATTTAACTCAAAAGAAACTTTAAGGACTATATAGTCAGAAAAATATTTTGATAATAATTCTAATTTTGAATCCATTGTCTGAACAAAACACATACCGTATATACTCGTGTATAAGTCGACTTATATAACAAGTACGTACGACCCCTGAATTTGTTGCATTAATTTAAAAATAATTTGCATAGTGCGATCCCTCCATTTTTGCGTCAAAAATTGATCCTAAAAACTTGCACTATACTCGAGTATATATGGTAATCAAAAATATAATAAAAATGAAAATTAAAAATAAAATAAAAACAAGAAAACGACAAAAACAGAAATTTTTTTTAACCATTTCATCTCTTTGCTTAGTAAAAAAAGAAATAATTTGAATTTTTAACCTATTATTACCGGATAATGCTGTCAAATATAAAGCCTTATTCGCAGTATTAGGCAGTGAGTACACACATACACGTGGGTGGCAAGAAATCTTCGGAATGGCAAATAAAATCAATAGATCTTCGTTTGGTAAAAAACATCGCATTGTTTACAATTACATCCAGTCACTTAGTGAAAGTGTAATCAGAAATGTGACCTTAGAAACAATGTGAACGAAGAACCTGTTTCTTCAGTTTAACAGAATGTATATCGATTGATTGAAGTAAAAATAACTTAGACAACAGGTTAATGAATATAAACTAAAAAAAAAAAAGCGTATGTGTATATCTTTCTCTTGTCAATGTGGCTAAGATTGGCGACTTTATTTGGAGATTCATTCAACAAGGTCTATTTTTAGAAACAAGCTAAAAAAGCATTGAAAGCAGCAAACAAAAATAAAGTCCAAATTTATCAATATTTTTTTTACGTAGTTTCGTAGTCTAAGATTTAAACTTTAAAAAAATAAATAAGAACAATAACAATACATAAGATCTCTAAAATTAAATAAATAAAATAAAAATCACAAAACAAAAAATTACCATAGCTGTATTTTAATTTAAAGAGATTCTAAATAAAACATGGTAATCATCAAGTGCACCTTTTCGGCTAGTTTTTATTTTTAAAGGTTATCATTCCAGAGATTTTTTTTACCCCTTCTGATTCTTACGATGAAGAAAATTGTTTTTTTTTTAAATTTTAAATTGTTTCATTAAGAAATTGTTAAATTTTAAATTGTTTCATTAAGAAAAAATGTGCTCATTGATAAAAATTTAAATCAGTTGAATACTACTAGATAAAATTTGAAAATCAAATCAGAAATAGTCGATTACCAATTTAAAGAAGGATAATATTTTAAAAAGTTAATAAATAAATTTTTTTTCACTATTAGAAAATTAGTCAAATAATGAAGAAAACATACAAAGAAAGGAAAACACATTTAAAGATTTTTTTATTTAAAGCATTTTTTAAATTTATTAATTTAATAGTTTTCAAAAGTTTAATGAAAGAAATGCTTAAAATTGATGAGTAATTTAATAATTTATTGAAGTTAAATAATTACATGAAAATTTAAAACTTAAATGCCTTTTTTTATTGAGGGCAAAAGTAAAAATCTTTGTACATGACATTTTTATTTTAAACAAAATTTACTTATTGAATTATTCAATAAATCTCTTCTTTTTTTTTTAAAAAAAAAATATCATTCGCCTCATTTAAAAACTTTTAACAACATCAAGTTTTAATGGGTTTTTTCTTTAACCAAAAAAAAAAAAGTCTCATTCTGACAGATATATTAAAAACAAACTACAAAAATGATGTTAAAATCGCTTTTTCGACTTGTTTGGATTTCTGACAATGATAAGCAGGTCATTTATAACAAAGCCTTGCCTGCATACTTTTGTTTTTAAATAAAATAATATCCTTGAAGTCAAGAAGAAAGTTTTCAAATACGACGGGAAGGAAATTAAAAATTAAAATATGGATCAGAGGACATAAAAATAAAAACAAGAGAGCCACTTCTTCATCCAGAAAACTGGCATTTAAACATGGAACAACAATGTTTGCTACGTAACACTTTAAAAACTTTAATTTAAAACTTACAGAAGACAAGTAGAAAAAAAAAACAAAAAAAACTTATCTTTTCATTTATGTAGGTTTTTTTTTTAACTTTGATTTTTTTACTTTTTTTTTTTTTACTTTACAAGTTAAAAACAAAATATTATTATGCAAAATAAAATATTGTCTAGAATGAAACTAAAATCGAATTTCTCATTTAATTATTACTTTTATTAAACTTAAACGAAGATGGAAAGCATCTCTGGTAAGAAAAGTTATTGTGAATCTGATTTAAAAAAAAAAATTGAAGACACTCGTTCCATTGAGTTGTGAGACAGACGCATATTTTTTCAAAGTCTTGGCTAATATTTTGTTGGTAGATGAATAGATGCTAATATACAAGTTCTCTTTATACATATAATATATAAAAAAGAGAAAAAATACTTACAATCGAATTACGCCTAAAAAAAGGCTGATTTAACTTTCTCTGTCTACAATAAATGAAAAGTCTGCGTTAATAAAAAAAAAACCGTGATGGTTTCATTTTTTAATCTACGAAGGACTGTAATTGTCTTAAAATTACATTTCTTTCAGTTTTATATTTTCTTTTTAATATAATTTGATTGATAAAAAGATGAAATTCTACCAAATAAGAGTCAAGAATCACAAAGAGAATCGTCTGACGTATGAGCTTATAAACATTACTGGCAATTTCTGGAGTAAAAATAGATGATGATACACAAAAGATTTTTAGTGAGTGCTTAGTTTTGATTTAAAAAAATTTACAATGACTGCACAACTGCATCATTTCTTGATGTGAGCTTTATATACGGACTTGAAATCTGAGAAAGACAATTAAAAGCCAAAAATAAACATTTTTTTTAATAGTTTAAATTATAAAATTACACAACTGAAAAAGAAACGATCATTTTTCATTCTCTAGACTCAAGATGGCTCTTTCTTTCTATTGATAAATAAACCTTATTTTGCTCTTGATGTATCAACACGAAGCAAGAACAAGCGGAATAGAACTCAAGCCAGAAACAAAGAAAACATTAAATAGCTAAAAAAAAAAAAAAATACTTATAAACAAGAAAAAATAAACAAAAATCGATTAAAAACAAAAACAATATATTTCTCTAAAAAAGGTATCTGATGCTGATGATATTAGTTAATTATATCCCAGATGGTTTTCCATACAAAGAAAAATAAGCGAGTTATATTTTTCTTAAACGTAACTTAGGGAGCAACCATGTAAATAAACACTATATAAAAATTTCCAAGGGAAATGTAAGCTGATTTCTTTACGTTTTTAGGCTTTTGTGTTGGTTTTCTTGTATATTTGAAGCTAAACTGTACGTCATATTTTTGCTGATGGAGCTATTAAGAAAGGCGATTTAAAAATAAAAATAAGACATCCCAACCCAGTGGCTAGACTAGACTGCAGAGAATCAGGATAGACATTTTTTTTTTAGACTTTCAATATTTAAACAATCAACATGAACAAACATGAGAATAAAGGAGAACTGTGTTTTTTTTAGGACAACCGAATCGATATAGAAGAAAACAAACATTTGTGTAATATTTACCTCACAGCAAGAAGAAATAAAAGCAGATGAGGTACAATGCAGTTTTAAGAAGAGGAAGCAAAATGAAGATTTCTTCTTTTAATTGTATTACTTCAACCAAGTCCGTTCGTTTCTATATTCTCCACCATCAGAACAACAAAAAGGATCCCTGGATGTTTAGTTTATATTTTAAAGTAAATAAATAATGACTTGTTTTCGTGGGGTGTGAGGCTGTTCGTTTTTACTTGCTATTCTCCTGGATGGTTTGTTAGATATTGAACTGGAAATTCTTTCCTCCAAGACTCTCTCGTAGACTTTTCAGCAGCAACGACAATGCCAAGGTCCACTTTACGGCATCACTTAAAGTTATTTGCTTTTTACGTCAAACCTCACTTTTTTGTTTTGATATGTTATGTCACTTTCTTTCTCTTTAGCCTAACTCCACAATTAAAAATAAATAAATTAAATACTAGCAAGTAGACCCGGGTAAAACTTAATGTCACCTCACCTTTTTTAAGGGTTTCATAAAATTTTTATTACACTGGATGAAATATGAAATTATTTATTTAGTTACTGTTAATGTGTACGCTAATAAAATTAATTACTGGTGTTAAATTCTTTCTTTTCCATTAAAAAATTATTTCATAATAATATCTTCATTTTACAAATAAAATATAATATGAACTGAAAATTAACAAAAACAAAACTTAGTTAAACTGTTGTTTTCTATGAGTGGCAAAAAAGAAAACCAAATCTATCTTTGTATCATGTGGTTACAATTTTTGTAAATAAATAAAATAAAATTCCTTAAAAAATCTGCTTCTTGTGGATTTTTTTCTTTTCTAAATTGTTTTTGTTAGTTTGTGTGGTCTGGAACATAAGACAGCTATTTTAGCTGAAACTGAACAAAAAAAATTAGTAGTATAAAAAAAACTATAAAATTGCTGATGAAAATGAAAAAAAAAATGAATATGTGAGGAATTATAAAATATTTGTTGAAATATTTAACTTCAGCAAATAAAAAAAA